ATTTTCCCCTTTACATATATATCCTTGCATATATCTTATTGAATATCATCATTGTTAGGATATATTTGTTAATTAATTTTAATCGGTATTAATATTTTATTTTAATCGGCATTAATATCTAATAAGATTAGCAATAACCCTATTCCCCCCCCCCCCCAACCCCCTCTAGGGTACTTTCAAGAGGGTGTATATTTGAAGGTTATATTTGGGTCCATGATTGTGATGAAGGGCGTTAAGAGGAAGAATTTGTACTATTTGATTGGGAGCACGGTGATTGGTAGAAAACTGACGACTTCTTTGGATTTGGCTAAACTGTGGCATTTGTTGAGGCTGGGATATTTGATTGGTTATGTCGTGTATGGTTTGTTGACGCTAGGTACAGTTGTGTAGGATCAGGGACCGACGGCTCAGGTTCAAGATTATATTACGGTTTGGAGACAAAAGAGATACATATGAATGCCAGCACGGTATACCGACACAGTAGTTGCATATGCACTTTCGGTGGAGAGTATCGATGAGTTGGTGCCTACTACATTCAGAGAGGCCAAGCAGAGTTCGGAGGCTAATTCGTGGTAGGTGACTATGCATGAGGAGATGGAGTCTCTTCACAAGAATGATATGTGGGAGCTTGTTGAGCTTCCAAAGGGGCGGAAGGCGATTGGTTGCAAGTAGGTATACACGAAGAAGGAGGGCATTGAGGGCATTCCAATGAGGTTCAAGGCTAGGTTAGCTGCGAAGAGCTGTGCACAGGAGGAAGATATTGATTATAATGAGGTTTTCTCTCTAGTGGTGAAGCACTCTTCGATTCGGATTTTTCTGGCTTGAGTGGCACAATATGGATTGGAGTTAGATCAGCTGGATGTGAAGAGGACATTTCTTCATGGTGATCTTGATGAAGAAATATATATGACTCAGCTATTGGGATTCTGAGCTGCAGAGAAGGAAAACCTAGTTTGTAGGTTAAAGAAATCGCTATACGGTTTGAAGTAGTCTCCTAGATAGCGGTATAGGCGATTTGATGGTTTTATGATTGGGCATTCATACACTCGGAGTCAGTTTGATCCTTGTGTATATTTTTGTAAGTTGAAAGAAGGTGCGTACATCTATTTATTGCTTTATGTCGATGGCATGTTAGTTGCCTCTATTTCCAGGTCTTCTACAGATGAGTTGAAGGCACAACTTTTAAAGGAGTTTGAGATGAAGGATTTGGGTGAGACTAAGCGCATTTTGAGGATGGAGATCGGCAAAGACAAAGAGAAGAGCAGAATTTGTTTGACACAGGTGGCTTATTTGAAGAAGATTCTACAACAATTTCATGTTAGCATGGATATGAAGCGAGTTAGTGTACCATTGGGAGCCCATTTAAAGCTTTCAGCTGACCTCTCACCGAAGACAGTTGAAGATCGAGAGTTGATGTCGAAGACTCCATATGCGAGCGAGGTTGGGAGCTTGATATACGTGATGATATGTACGAGGTCAGATTTGTCACAGGCGGTGAGCATGGTTTTGAGATACATGAATGATCCAGGAGTGGGTCATTGGAACGTCGTGAGATGGATTTTGAGGTATGTTCGAGGTACACTCAATGTTAGTTTCGTTTTTGAGCGGGACACTAGAGGTGGGTAATTGTGTATTGGCTTTGTTGATTCGGATTATGCCGGGAATTTGGATAAGCGTCGGTCTATAACGGGGTATGGTTCACTTTGACCCGTGCGTCTTTGTGTTGGAGATGCATCTTACAGGTTACGGTGTCTTTGTCTACGATGGAGGCAGAGTATATGATAATTACGGAGGCTGTGAATGTGGCTATTTGGCTTCGAGGGCTTTTGGAGGAACTTGGTATATCGCAACGGTCCGTCACTATTCATTGTGATAGCATGAGTGCTATCTATTTGGCGAAGAATCAGGTTTTTCATACGAGAACGAAGCACATTGACGTTCGTTATCACTTTGTTCGAGATGTTCTTGAAAATGGCGATGTGGAGATTGTGAAAGTCCACACGAAAGATAATCCGACCGATATGCTCACTAAGGTGGTTCCGAGCAACAAGTTTGATCATTGTCTAAACTTGTTACATATTCGTGATTGTTGAGGCCGTTGACGGCCATTTGGATGAACTACGTGCGGCTTGATCTCTTGGTAGAGGGGTACGTAGGCAATAATATTGGTGCAGTCGATTTTGGAGAGACGACGCATTGGTGCTCTTTGTTTGGTGTCGGCTCAGTTTTGGGAAAACTTCACCGAGGTGGAGAATTGAAGAGAATATAGGAAAAATGGTAAAAAACAGATTTGGACTTCCAGCGGTCGACTGCGAGTGGCTCTGCGGTCGACCGCAAACGTGCACGCAAGCTGAAAAAGTATCTGGACTTTTCGCGGTGGTCGACCGGCCAAACCCTGTAATATTTTTTTAGTTTCTGTCGTTCTGCCCGGTCGACCGCACATGGCTTTGCGGTCGACCGCGAGTTGTGCTGGGCCTGAACTTTGGTTTCCTATTCACATTGGGTTTGTGTTTTGATATATATTGAAACACGATTTTCTAGGGTTTGTGGAGAGGAGAGTTCTAACAGAGATTTTAGATTGTACTGAGCATATTGAGAGGGAGAACTAGTGAGCAAGTTGAGAGATTTGGTTTAGGGTTTATTTGAGTGATTTTGTGAGATTGTAACCCTTTGGACTCTCCTTGATTTAGTGGAATCTCCTCATCCTCTCCCCGTGGACGTAGGCAAATTGCCGAACCACGTATATCTCTGTGTTTAATTTGATTTGTCGTATTTGGATTGAATTGTGCTCGTGTGTGATTGGTTCTCTTCTCCCGTGATCACAGATTCATTTGGTGTGCGAGCATGCTTCCGCATAGACGCGCAACAGTAAGCACCAAATTCAACCACTATACTGCCAAGAGAGGATGCCAATCAAACATAACATTTCAGCTCAATCGTGCAAACTCTTCAAGTCTATATAAACTAGGAAATGTCCAAAATATACAATCCAAAACAAAATGTGAAATTTAATGTATACCCATAAGTCATTAAACAAGATTTAAATGCACAAGGTAAATTAAAATATGGACCCTTATTTCTCTACACTAGAACTAAATAAATTGAAATATAGGGTATCAAGCTCTGAAAAGAACCCAAGTTTAGAATTCAAAGAAGTTTCTTTAAATTGGATCGGATCTAAATTCAGGTATAAATTGTATCTAAATTTGAGCACAAATAAGATCTCAGCACCAAATCTCTCAATTGCAACAATTCAAATTTTCAAATGTAGAATTCCCTTAATCTGAAAGTAAGTAAACTTTCATATAAAGACTATTAGATCTTTAACGTAAATAGGCCATAAAATCTCTAAATAAGAACGCGCCAATGCAAATATGGATCCCTAATTCTCTAGTAAAATTCTAATATGTACTGTCAAGTAGAAATTTGAACAAATAACTAAACCTTCAAACATTAACTTTCAAATGTGGATCGGAACAAGTTAAAACTCAATATAAATATAAGTCTCTAAATGTTGGCATAAATAATTCTTATTCAAAGACAGATGCAAATTAAGTTTTAAATAAGAAAAAGGTCTTAAATCATCAAGTGTATATGTCTAAAGGAGAAACAAAGATCAAGTTGGACCATAATGTCCTTCAATCGCAGGAACAAGCTGAACTGAGACCATTAGGACCTACAAACATCTGATGTGCAGAATTGTTAAATAAAATTTTAACTGAATATATGCCCATGGTAAAGCCATGTGTTTGAATGAGTAAGAACAAAAGATTTCTTTACGTTTTCCATTTCGTACTAAGTTGCGTGTTTTTAATTTTAACCAGAGTTTCTTCAAAAAGTAGTAATTAACAGCAGATTCTTAAATCTATTGAAAAGTCATAAATCCATACATGAACTCTATCCTGTAGAACGAATATGTTAAACCTGAAAAGTCCAACCTCAATTATATCCACCGTCAATGAATAACGAAAGTATATGTTACGTCAAAGATAAACTGCATAGAGACATCTAGTCTAAGGAAAACAAAATATAGTACACCAAATCAAACCAACTAAATCCAGACCCAACTATCTTCTGTTTCTTCGGGTCAGTTGGGCAAACGGGGCAAAACTGGGCAAAACGGGGCCAGGACCAGTCCTGACCCAGTTTTGTGCTAAACTAGTTTTGTTTTGGATCAGACCCCCTGGTCCAAAAAAAAAAAAAACTAGTTTAGTGACACTATTTGAGCACAAAAAATAGGGTTAGATCCAGCCCAGAATTTTGACAAATAAGAAACAAAACAAAATTAGATCAGTCCTGTCCTAATTTTACAAAGTTGTCAAACACTCCCTTCTAGTTTATATTGCCAACTTAAACATTATACTTCAATTATACAGCAGGACGAAGGAGAATGACTTAAGGTTACATACTCTTCCGAAGAAAAATAATGTGTGCTCACAATAGAAACGAGAATGACTTAAGGTTACCTAGTATCCGGAAGAAAAATAATGTGTGCTCACAATAGATGTATTAGATTATTGATGTAGTCACAAGACTCTTGGTATCGCAATCTGTAGTACTTGAAATTTGGATCTCATGACCTAGAAATAGCTTTTATAATATAAAAATGGTTAAACAGATGTATTTTGTTGGCTCACAAAAGAACTGAAGAGTATTAAATAAGTATCCAGCTTGTGCATATAAGACACGGATAATGTAATTTAAGTAATGGGATCTTTAAACCTACAGTCAGCAATAGCACGTAAAAGAGTCAAAACAACTATATATCTCGTCAACTGCGTGAACTCTTTATCCATTTTGCTCCCTGAGTATCAGATGCCCTTATCATTTGGCTCCTCATAACCAATAAAAAGACTGAAATGTTAAAAAAAACTGTTACTACAACATCCTCATCAAAATCTTGATTCTTCACTATATATATCATCCCAAAACAACCACCACCACATACCAATCTTTGTATAATTGGCTAACAATCTAGATTATGAGATCAATCCATACTATATGGTAACGCATAATTTTTTGAAAATCATGCAATCCGAGTATAATGAGTTGGTATCCAGTCTACTTAGAGCATCATGAGCTGGTGCTTAAATTTGATATGCCGTAATAAGTATCGTATATGCAGGGGAAAGCATCAGTTCATGAACATATAAGATTGTCTTGCTAGAAAGTTTCAGCTAAAAAAATAAATTACATAAATATATAATTGCAGATAGTTATTTAAACGAACATTGACCAGCTAAGTGCTAGATGCTTCTTCAGAACTTTTTATTACTAGTGACATCAACTAGTTCACAAACTCGATTCCTGTCAAAGGCTGACCAGAATGAAGCTGAAGAGCACAATTGCCTACAATCTGCAATAATAAATAATGTATAGATTGAGAAAAGAAAAACTAATCAGGATAGAGGAAAAACAGCATCTTTTAGCAATCTAAAGGCATTCAACATCTTTTAGTACTATAAACGCATTTTGTTTGAGTCCTATTCAACATTCTGATTAATAATTTCTTTTTAAATTTTTCAAAAAAAAGGGCATCAGTGTACACTTGGATACATCAGTTTTATAATTATTTTTGACAGTATATTTAAGTGTTGATGTATTCTTAAAGTTAAAGCTACATAACTTGGATAAAATTAATCAGGAAGATCTGTGGTTGTAATTATAAGTTTACAAATCGGCAGGTAAGTTTCAGAAATAACTAGAATTTAATTGGATTTTTTAATTTTTGGATGAAATTATTATCAGAATAAAGATTGCTCACTGATTTTATTAAATTATGGACCAGCCCTATTTAACATAATGTCCTGGTATTATCTACTGAAAACAGTTCGTGCACACAAAGCTAGAGAATTACAAATTTTACAGTTTTCCAGAACACAATTTTTCCAACAAAATTGAAAGAGATCAGTTCTACAAACAGGCCCAAATTTTTGCTGTTTATAGGTCACCTAAAATTCCTACTTTCCCCAAAATTCTACAATCCAGACCCTGTACCTTCCCCCAAAATTGTAATTTAACCTGTTTTTGGATTATAGCATGTTTGAAGGTTGAAAAAAACAATAAAAGATAATTACAGATTGTAGAACCTTAGTTTAGCCTGGTTGGATGTTTTCTTGGGTATTAATAGTTAGAAAAAAAAAGCTTAAGATCAATTTTTATGTTTACTAAATTGATTTGCTACAATAGGCAATTTTCAAAATTGAGAAAATTGACTGGACTGGATTATCATCTTATTAGCAAGGATTTTGTTTTGTTCTCAGCTCCAAGCACAATTCAATATTACTAGATATATAGTTTGAAAATTCTGCATGCTGAATAATTTATTTCTTGTATTATGTTTCCAAAAATAAATCTATAGCTTTCACTCTACTATGTTATATTTTGTTTTATGCAAACATTGGATCAATTAGAGCAGAATATCATCTTCTTAGCAAGGATTTGATTCATTCAGCTGTAAGTAGGATCTTAACTAGATAATTTGAAGATTATACATGCTTGATAATTTATTTACAATATCATGTTTCTAATTTAAAATCTATGAATTCCACAATTAATATCCTCCATTTTGTGTAGCAAATATTGGATCAGACATCCAGCTATTTTTGCATAGATTTCACATCAGTGCTTGCTCGAGTTTTCATTACTATGCTGTAATTAGTTAACGTATTCGTTGAAACTCCATGACTTATTTAGAAATTTATTGTATTCATCTTCCTGATTAATATTAAAAAGATTTACAGATGTTATTCTTCCAATGTATGTTGCAGACCTGGGGGTGTGACAGTTTTCATTTCTTATCTCTTCCAACTTCCAAGTTCATAGAATTTATCAGAAAAACCATGCAACAAGTGACAAATTAGAAGAATATGATAAACAAAAGAGAATATAACATAAGTCCCATACATCAAAGCAAGACATACCATGCAATCCAATCCTATCATTGGCCCAGATAATAGCAGCAAGGAAAAGAAATAAAGTGATGACTGACACAGTGACACTATTTGATAAAGTCGGCTTTTATTACGGGGATTTAAGCACACGCAGTTCCAATTACTGGGGAACCTTTTACCTCCTCTGGCTTTTTTTAAGACATAACACCCATTTTATTTTAAACCCTTCTCCAGACAAAGGAGAATATTCAGCTCAAAAGTTTCAGTATTTTACAGAGGAAAGGTTGTAAAATCAAGTTGAGGACTTTCTAATTCACTAATATTTTTTGTATATATTTTCGGTCCCTGCAAAGATAAAATTAGATGTAATTATCTGTGAAGCCTCCAAGTTAATTAGAGTGTTTGTACCCATTTTTAGCATTAGGCAATGTAATAAATATGGAAATATATAGTTATAAATGGACTGATGTTGTTTACAAAGAACAGGGATTTGGTATATGCTCGATTTCCAAAAGATAAAATAAAACTAAAAATCTGGATGTGGCTGCTAAATATGTCACATTGCTTTTAAGCTTACTTTTAGCACACTATGAGTTACCATCATAGGAGTATCACTCCATTTTTATCCTTGACGCGTGCTTCCACAAGTTATCTTCAAATAGCTCTGTAGTCTCCACGATTATTTACAACTTCACCTAACCTTTAAACCTGAGTGGTCCATGGCTTTCTGCCCTATCTATTCAATTGCCCGCTGTCCATTCAATTACCTACAAAATCCTGAGTCTCTCTCACACCAAGAGGCTAGAAACTCTCCTTACCAAACAGATTTGTCAAGCTACTTCTGGTTGCAAGAGTGTACAAAGTTAGGTCATCCACTATGCTTTAGGCAAAGTCATGTATAGTGCCTAAGCCACAGTAAACTTCGGTTAACAAGTGTAGTGTAGAGTTTGCTCAGTCCCAACTCTAATGCTTGCTCAAAAATATTTTTTTCTTTTGTTGCACTGTAAGAACCATTAACAAAAAAAGAGTAAATTTCATAGCCAAATCTATCCAACAAGAAAAGGCTCAATAGACTCCATCTTTGAACGTCAAGTAAGAAGCTGTTTGAGAAACTTTACAGGTACCTTGGCCATTTTCCTGTAGGAATATTCAGTGACCCCCGCAACATGTGGTGTGATCAAGACATTAGGAAACTTGAGAATAGGATCATCAGGATCAAATGGCTCCGTCCATGCAACATCGATTGCTAAGCCGCCTAAATGACCTGATCGAAGATGATCGAAAACAGCCTTGTAGTCTAGGATTCGTCCACGAGAAACATTTACGAGAAGGGAGCCCTAGAAACACATCAAGACGCAGAAACAAAGTTAAATTAGATTGCAAGATGATTATAGTTCAAGCCATTACGTACAGATATACTTAAATTAGACTAACTTGCATTCTAGGAACACAAAATTCATGAGCAAGTGTCCAAGTATTTTAATGATATGAGCATAAGTCTTCATAAATGTGACTGTTAACGCACAAGAAATATACAAACCTTTCGCATATGAGAAAGAAGTTTTCCATCTACAATACCAGCCTGAAAGTTGCACAAATCAGTGAAATTTATAAGTGAAGACATAAAAATTTTCATAGAAACCAAATGACTAGGAACTTGAAACTGACTGTTTCAGCATTCAATTGCAAGCAGGGAACCACTATGTCAGCCTCTCCAGCAAATTCATATATACTTTCTGGACCACCTTTCTTATCGATTAATCCATCGATTTCATCATCTTCAACACTCGAGTCTGTAAATATAATAGTTAGTAGAATTGATCTAAAAGTTTTGAAAAACTCATACTGTCATTTGTACAAAAAAGTTACCATAGAATTCAGTCTCTATCATACCATCAAGGTTTTCAGAATTCATAGACCATCTTCTTTTTGTTCCAATGATCTTCACACCAAATGGCCGCAATCTCTTTGCAAGTTCTACTCCTATGGCTCCAAATCCTATAATTAAAACCTACAGGTAAAGTAATTGAGAAAAATTATTCACTGTCATCATATATCTGTATTTAGTGCTCAGCTTGCTGGAACTACATGCCAAAACTAATCTTGAAAAATGAGAAAATAAGAGAAACATACTATACACAGTTGGAACTTCATCTAGCCCCTACATGGTAAGGAGGTAATTAAAGTATTGTTTAAGAATGGTCCATTTTCTGGTCAGTCACAGCCAACAGTGTAGTTATGCGCTTTAATCAACTCAGTAAGGATGACATGTTTCAAGTTGGAGGCACCAACATAATTCCATGACTTCAGTCTATCTCGCTACCTATTTAACACTGAAATCTAGCGATTTAAGGTTAGATCTTAGAACAGTATAAAGTCACAAAAAGATGAAGGCATTTGCAGGAAGTCCCGGGCAGCTTTAAATATTGATTTCATAGGGAAAGCTCCTTTGAGATGGTTGACATGTGGAAGAGATAAATGAGAATTCCAGTTAAAAGGAGTGTCAGGATAGTAGTGGTGGGAGTAACAAGGACTATTTGTAGCCTAAATGAACATGTGTTGAGAAAAAAAATGTAGTGGTTAATTCAACAACAGAAATGACATTCGAAGAAACTGAGTGGAGAAAAATAACCCATGTAATCGATCCTGAGTAATTAGGAGGCAATTTTATGACTGTTATTACTGTTACGTTGTTATTTAAACTAAAGCCTCACATTTATAGGTGATAACTTTAATGAGCGATCGTGAGAACCGAAAGAAGATAATAGCACAAGTGAATAATGTAGTCGATGAAATTATTGAATGTCTGTCAATGAGTATTTAACCCTGGCAGTGGAAGAATAAGACCAGTCATCTAGAAAGCCTACTGGAGAGAGGTTCTTATATATCAAAAGAGCACAAGCCTGCGCAGGCAAAATTATATGCAGTCAACCCAATAGCAACTCTTAATTTGTAGAGTCCAAAATATACATGCAATGCTCTTTGAGGCATAGTAAGGATAAACATTGCCTATTAACCAACTTAATATGGATCTATGCACGGGAGGAGTTTCGGTTATCCTAGAGCAAAGCCTATTTATCAAAAATTTAGTCCTCACTAAAGCAAAACTGCAAAGCTATATAATTAACAATTCAAAATGGATATAAAATGGTGTACGAGAATTATATCATCAATGTGAAGAAGAAATGTGACGTACTGTTTTTCCAAGTAGCGTTTCTCCAGTTGGCATTCCTAAATCTTTGTTCTTCACAGCAGCTTCCATCTCCTTCTGCAATAAGATAATTGTGATGCCGAATCAAAACACAAGGTGCAACAAGCATTAAAAGTAAAAAGATGGCAACCTGCAAAGAAAAATAAGCTGTAAAATTTTGTGAGTTGTGTCATCAAATCCGACCCCAAACACAAAAAACCTAAGTTGAATGGGTAGGGGTAAAGATGCAAGTACAGGTGCAGGTGCGAGGACAGGACACGGTAAATTTATAAAAAGTAGGTTACAGGGACACAGCTAAAACTCATGGGATATAATCATAGTTCTGAGCTATATATGTCAATAATCATTTTTAATCATAGCTCTTAAAGATGAAACGAACTTGAACCTTATCCAACAAGTTAAAAAATGGATGTGAAGTGTCAGGTATCGGTATGATACGTGTTGGGTATGGGTACAGCTCCATATTAGAAGTAATCAGGTAACATAGCAACACACTATAAGAATAAGGTCAGAATAATAGGGGTCAATTGGGGAAAGACTACCCCCCAGAAAAATTCAACCACTTGTTGATGGACCCCTTGTAGTCCTATTGCTGCAAATTAACCCCTTGAGAGTGAAATTTATTGGCTTTTTTACCATCAGAGAGAGAGAAATTTGTTTTTGACAAATAGACCTCTTGAGGGTAAAAGAGTCAAAAATATTCACCGAGGGGAGTCTATCTGCAACAATAGAAGTACAGGGGGTCTATCCACAGTTAACCCTTATAAAACACTTCAAAGTCCACATGGAACTTATATAAAACTTATCGCAGCAAAATGCATCAGCAAGACACAACTTCCTATAGATTATTAGCTTCATATGAAGCACCTGCTTCCGGAGAAGACCCAGCATCAAGTATACCGCCATTTCAGCACATGATGCGGCATTTCCAGTTGCACTTCCAGGAATTCTTGCAACTTTAATATTATGCTGTGTGGCAGCATCAATATCAACACCTATATAAACCAAAAAAGGAGGATATTAAAATGATTTGAATAATTAAACAAAGGAAATCAATGGCTGTTTTGGTCGGAGAATGTAACAAACTCCAAGAACATGAAGCCTTAAAAACAAGGGATAATATAATTTGCCTTCAAGTCCAACACCGTATTGCATCACAAGCTTCATCTCAGATGCCTTCGCAATAAGATCTGCATTCATCTGGCACATCTTAACTACACAAAGATGGTATTTCCCAATAACATTAGGTACATCATCAAGAGCAACATCATCAACCTGCAAGAAGAAAAACAAAATTACACACAAAGAGGAGAACTAGACCTACACTAGAAGATCTGATTTAAAAATAATTTCACATACGAAACTAAGAAAGGCATCGAGCCAAATTATATAATCACATTAAAAATAAACTAGTTTTCTTTTCCTTTTTCCTTTTTTTAGTTACATGTAACTGGGCTAGTTGATGTAAAGGATTTGAATGAAGTGGAAAATTCTCAGTTTGATATGTATAACAATAAAAGACCAGAAAATTATAACAATTATTAAAGACAAGCTGTATTAAAGCAATTAGATCAAGAAGAACCAACACAAGGATAAAAGAGTAGACTCCTTGTCAGGATTCGACATAGCAAGAGATTTAGCCTCACATAGCCACATGCAAACAGATATACATGACATAACAAATTGCTCACCATGATTTTTACAGCAGCTACGTGATGAATACAAGTGAACATGAGTGACAAATAAACCAATAGCTCGAACTAAATCTTCCTCTAAAGATGACCATAAGTCAGCTTTTGTAAGAGTGCAATGTAGGCAACCAAAAAAAGTTCATTTAAGGCTAAAGCTTTAAGCATTATTTTTGGGAAACAACAGCTGCCAGCTATGTTGACTGTTGATTAAGATTTATCAGTAATAATCTGATGACATAAAACCAGACAATTTATTGTACGTTTTAAGTAAAAACAGTCAGTTAGACATTTACAAGTAAATGGGTGGCCCACAACATGAGGCTTCCACCGCTATGAGCTCTGAGAAGAGTCAAATGTACGCATCCTTACCCCTACATGTAGATAGACTGTTTTCCAAAATTTGTGACCGCCAGGTCACAAGGCAGCAACCTTACTATTGTGTCAAGGCTCACCCTCAAAAGGGCAGTCCAGTTCATGAGGCTCCCACTATTGTGGGCTCTAGAGAGGGTTAAATGTACGCAATCTTACCCCCACATACAGAGAGGCTGTTTCCAAGATTCGAACCCACAAGGCAGCAACTTTATCATTGCTCCAAGGCTCACCTAAAATCAATATGGGGGAAGCTAACATGCACTGTAGATATTTGTAGCAAATATCTCAGCTAAGTTACATAATATGGATCCAAGTATTGGATTTTATATGATACAGATATGCAATTATGCAAAATCTCAGTAAATAACAGATGTGGATTCTCCATGGATTAGTCAATTAAATAAATATCTTAGCTTATATTATATACAGTAATAACATAGTTCAACCAAGGAAGCAAGTTTCGTATACTTTGTGCAGGAATAGGAAATACAGGGACTTCTATTTTATCTTCTTCCATAAAGCCATTTTGTTTTTGCTGCTTTAGTAGGACAACTGATGCAACCTACTATTCATGGTTTGATTTCTGATGTGCATAAAGGTCATTGCTCATATTATTTGTAAAGCAAGGAAGTACACATAATTTTCTCTATACTCTTAAACCAACCATTTCTTTTTTGCTTCTTTTGGCATTAATGGCATCACTGAAATTTACAGACAGCTATGCCTGGGTTAATTTGTAAGGTCGATAACGGTTATCAGCTGCTTGTGTGTGTGGGTGTCTGAGCGAGTGTGTGTGGGTGTCTGAGCGAGTGTGCAAGCATACATGATGGTCCTTTCCTTGCTATATTACTGCTGACCTTAAATTTGGTTGCAGGAGGCTACAATACGATACTTCACTCTGATGTAGTAGAGTATGCGTGGTGACTTTCTTTATCTGCTTCTGTAAACCGTTCCACTTTTTATTCTTTTGTGGTGACACTGATACCAAGCAGTAGTGATGCGCCCTTTCATCTAATGCAGGGTGTGTCCAGGTCACGTATGTGGAGAGGCCTTCCTATCAGTCACAATGGACGGGTAGGCCTCACCACTCTTTCTCTATTTCAGCTGATTGAGTTATCACTCAATAAAAATAAATACAC